GGACAGCTGTATGTGGCCTGCTCACTTCTCACATGGACAGCTGTATGTGGCCTGCTCACTTCTCACATGGACAGCTGTATGTGGCCTGCTCACTTCTCACATGGACAGCTGTATGTGGCCTGCTCACTTCTCACATGAACAGCTGTATGTGGCCTGCTCACGGATCAACAAACCTTCTAATTGTATTGTCAATATAAAAAGTACTTCAAAAAACAACATTAAACACAAACCCTTTCTTTCTTAGGGTGGCATTGCAACGCATGCCTGGTTCTCGCTAGTTTATAATAATGTGTGTGTTCAACTGACGTAAACATTTTCTATTACAAAATATTTCAACTAGCTAAGAGTCTACAGCAATGGTTCTCAACCATTCTAATGCCGCGACCCTTTAATATATTTCCTCATGTTGTGAAGACCCCCAACAACAAAATTATTTTCGCTTCTACTTCATATCGGTAAGGTATATGTGTTTTCCGATGGTCTTAGGCGACCCCTGGGAAAGGGTCGTTCGACATCCAAAGGGGTAGCGCCCCACAGGATGAGAACACCTGGCCTACAGTATTTTACAATAATTATGTAATCATAAGTGATCCAAGGGGAATGAAATTTGTGATAGGTATCGCATCAGTAAAATACTTTACATAAAAAAAAAAGTTTTCATAGGAAAGCGAAGTTTTTTTGCTCAGGAATTTCTTAACAAATTTTTAAAGTCTTTAACTTCACACCAACCACCCCAACCCCTTCACCACAAGCAAATACACACCAAGACAATAGCATTTTAATTAACAAAACTTTTTTTAGAGCGATTTTTCACTTAAACTCGTGAAAACTTATAAATTACTTTAAAAATTAGACATAAAAGCATCTGCACGGTTTTCGAGGATTAGATCTATGCAAATTACGCAGATTTTTGAAAAATCGCGAATGCAAATTAGGACGAAGCGCGTATGCAAAAGGTTTCCCTGTACAGGATTTTAGTTTTTTGATCTGGAGATGATAGGAGCTGGCACAACTGAATTAACGTCCAGAGCAGAGTAATGACTGCTTCAAAAGTCATGTGTAAGTGGGCACCGACCTGTGACTTTCGTTACTTATAGATGCGAAACACGGTTTTGGACTTTCGTCTCATGGATCAAATCGCCTAAACGTTAACCAAAAATTATTTTCCATCATAGATTTTTAGGTATTCCTTTAAAAAAAATATCGTATCGTCTTAAATTATGTAGGCCTGTGATTGGGACATCTCGTAAATTCGCCGTTCAAACCAAGAGATGGATCAAACTTTTTCGAAAACCCACCCAAAGTCGCTACAATCAAAAGGGCAGACTGAGCAGGACAGGACACCTTGAGAGAATGTCAGAATGATCTACAGGCAGAAACCTAGGGGCAGACGGCTCACCGGTCGACCAAGACTGAGATTTATCAATGAAGGGCGTACATCAGTGGGGGCGGGGGGGTATCCGCGCATGGATACGGAGAGAAATGGATCAGTTTGAATGGAATGATGTGGTGGAGCAATCCAGGGCCCTACGTGGGCTGTAGCACCACGAAATTGTGATGATGATGACGTAAATCTACCGAAGGTCAACTTCAGTTGGACATGCCAGGCACAGGTGAAGCTCTTACTACATCCCGTCCCTTTCAACCCCAAACTTAAACCACTTTTTTAGAAACTCACTGGGGTGGGGGGGGGGGAATGAATTTGAGAAACATAGGGCTCTCTCGGCCTGTTCGGATATCTATGGTAAAAATGCGTTATGGTATATGAACATGCGTTTCGCAAACAAAACTACAACTTATACGCAAGTCTTCTACCCTTATACGCAAGTCTTCTACCCTTATACGCAAGTCTTCTACCCTTATACGCAAGTCTTCTACCCTTATACGCAAGTCTTCTACCCTTATACGCAAGTCTTCTACACTTATACGCAAGTCTTCTACCCTTATACGCAAGTCCTCTACCCTTATACGCAAGTCTTCTACCCTTATACGCAAGTCTTCTACCCTTATACGCAAGTCTTCTACCCTTATACGCAAGTCTTCTACCCTTATACGCAAGTCTTCTACACTTATACGCACTTCTTTTACCCTTTATACACACGTCTTTTACATTTACATTTGCGTACCAAAATGACGGAAGGGTAATTTGTCCAGAGTCTCTATACTGCAGAAGGCGTTACTGTGAAAATAATTTGGTAAAATCTATAAAATACACTCAAGTTTGCAATTGATTTTAATTTTTTTAAAGTAAAATAAAAATTTGCAATAGTGTTGAACTAGTTGATATCCCGATTTTAATACGTGTTATAACTGAGACAGTTAAGCGCGCCTAACTTAAAGATGTAACTGTTTACATTCTGATTGAAATAATTTATAGAATTCGTTCACAAGTCTCCCATCATACAATCAAAACATGTGAGGCTACTGCTTGCATATTTACACAATGGAGATGTCCTGATAATACATAAAATAATAATAATACACGTTATTTTTGTTGAACAATCATCCCCGAAACATTCATAAAAAGTAGTCATTCACAATCACCTATCCTGTTATTGACATAAAAACCGATTATCATGCTTAACTGCAGTTCTTTGTAACAAAAGATGAATCAAATCTGAATGGTCAACTACAATGGAACCTTTAGTTATGCCACTGGTATCTTTCTTGCCTGTATCAACTGCTGCATCATACACTATCAAACCGCTAATTTTTTTTTTTTTTTCATTTGAAGTTCCGACCCCCGGTTAGGCCACATGGACACAGGTCTCGTCGCTTCTGTAATTTCCAAGAAACGCATGTGGCAATTAGACTTTATTTAATGAAGAGGGCTAATGTTATTTTTATAATGTAGCCGCCTTTGTCGCTTCGGGTCTAATCTCAAATTTTTAAACTTGATCCGCCATCGCCTCGCCCCCTCACCCACCCCCTCCCCAAAGCAAACGTAGACCCTATGTCGTATACTATTGCTATTACGGTCATGTTCTAAAACCCTATTCCTTATCTTTAACCTAAGTCTGTTATATCTACAATGCTGTTAAGACATTTCTGTAACCAAAACATAGATCCTTTACCATTGAACTTAGCGCAGAGCCCTTATACTCGTATTTCTCCGATAGCTTAAAACATGTGATAAGATATGAAGACTCCTGTTATCAAAGTAGTCGGCGTTTGAACGCAATTTATTACCTCGGCTGTTGGTGAGATTGTAGTTTCGGCTACAAGGGCTCTGGAGTCAACGTACACTTGGTGTGGTGAATAGCTCCCCATAACATCACCATTGTAGTGAGGTGTGTACATCTTTCAGCGATGGGTTACGAATTGGATATGATCAACAGAGATCCAAATAACCTCAATGACCATGTCAGGGTAAGTTTGCAAAGCTCAAATTATAAATGAACTGTTTTTAAAAATGGATTAATTTAAGCTAAAAAAATGCGTACGCGCGTTATTGACAAGAACCTGTAGGGCAGCGGTTCTCAGCCTGTGGGTCGCGAACCCTATGGGTTTGGGGGGGGAGGGGGGTCGCATGACCTTTTCCCAGGGGTCGCCTAAGACCATCTGAAAACACATATGCTCTACAGTTATGAAGTAGCAACAAAAATAATTGTGTGGCTGGGGGTCGCCACAACATGAGGAATTGTATTAAAGGGTCGCGGCGTTAGAAAGGTTGATAACCACTGCTGTAGAGAAAACGCTGGAAGATATAATGGCGGCTTGAAACGCCAACCAATCTATTCTGCTTCTTTTACAAAAGAAAATAATAAAATACATTTAAAAAAAAATTATTTATACGTCTAAAATAATTTTCATCTTAATAATCTATTCCGTCGATTTTCATCCGATGTATCGCTTACTATCATTGCTATATTGGGTACAAACTTTTAAACAATGTTTAAGAAAATGCTCAATAAACAGCTTCTTAGTGTAAGACTTTCTGTCTGCACACGTCATACAACTTCTTAGTGTAAGACTCACCGTCTGCATAAGCCATACAGCTTGTAAGTGTAAGACATAGTCTTGTTTGCAATGTTCCGAAAATCTGCCATTTCATGTTTTAATCAAAAACATTGCTAATTTTTTTGTTTTGTTTCTAAACTCAATTATATCCATCTTGATGTTAGTTCAAACAATTATAGACAGCTATTCTTTAATGTTGTCTCCATTTATCATCTGCAAGGGAATACGCTTCTGACTGCATTCAGCTTTTCCTCTATCATAATTTCACTTCATTGTTTAAATTTGATTTATGCTTGCAATATACGCGCAGCTTTATTGTTTGATTTATACTTGCAATCTCCGCGCTGCTTTATAGTTTGATTTATGCTTGCAATCTCCGCGCAGCTTTATCGTTTGATTTATACCTGCGATCTCCGAGCAGCTTTATAATTTGGTTTATGCTTGCAATCTCCGCGCAGCTTTATATTTTGATTTAGGCTTGCGATCTCCGCGCAGCTTTATATTTTGAATTATGCTTTCAATCTCCGAGTAGCTTTATATTTTGATTTATGCTTTCAATCTCCGCGCAGCTTTATATTTTGATTTAGGCTTGCAATCTCCGAGCAGCTTTATATTTTGATTTATGGTTGCAATCTCCGAGCAGCTTTATATTTTGATTTATGGTTGCAATCTCCGAGCAGCTTTATATTTTGATTTATGGTTGCAATCTCCGAGCAGCTTTATATTTTGATTTATGGTTGCAATCTCCGAGTAGCTTTATATTTTGATTTATGCTTTCAATCTCCGAGTAGCTTTATAGTTTGATTTATGCTTGCAATCTCCGCGCAGCTTTATATTTTGATTTAGGCTTGCAATCTCCGAGCAGCTTTATATTTTGATTTATGGTTGCAATCTCCGAGCAGCTTTATATTTTGATTTATGGTTGCAATCTCCGAGCAGCTTTATATTTTGATTTATGGTTGCAATCTCCGAGCAGCTTTACTTCCCGGACTTGTCAAAATTCATTGTCGGTTCGCTCGATCATTCGCTCAAGAGAAAGACAAGATCTCTTGACGTCACTAACAAGACACCGCGACGTGTCTCAGGTCTCCGAGTCCGTGATCAATAACCGTTATCAGATTATATCTACCTTATCAAGGGGTTTTCTGTACTGACGAAATGCGTTGGGAAACTACAGGAGTAGTACTTTGTGTTTACTTAGTATATGTAATATATCTTACGGTCACCAAAAATTTAAAAAAAAAATCAATGACGAAACTATGAGGCGCGTTCGTAGCTAATGGCGCCCCTCAGCAATGTGAGATTTACGGCCCTTTAAGAGCTGCATTTTTTAACGTTCCCATTTTTATAATTCGCATAAAAATAACGAGAAGAATTTTAAATCAGAAGGACTATAGAAATCTGGACGATTTTGGCGGTCAGGGCAAGAGTGCCGATGCTGATATCGATTTGGCCCAATTAGTACTACTGATCAGACATGCTGGAGTTGGGGAGTGGGTGTGGTGGGTGCAGTGCTGTGATGTGTGGTATCAATGAGTTGTGGTGGGTGCAGTGCTATGTGGTATCAATGAGTTGTGGTGGGTGCAGTGCTGTGTGGTATCAATGAGTTGTGGTGGGTGCAGTGCTGTGTGGTATCAATGAGTTGTGGTGGGTGCAGTGCTGTGTGGTATCAATGAGTTGTGGTGGGTGCAGTGCTGTGTGGTATCAATGAGTTATGGTGGGTTTGTGCAGTGATGTGTTGTATCAATAAGTTGTGGTGGGTTTGTGCTGTGTGGTATCAATAAGTTGTGGTGGGTGGGCGCAGTGCTGTGCTGTGTGGTATCAATAAGTTGTGGTGGGTGGGCGCAGTGCTGTGCTGTATAGTATCAATCAGTTGTGGTGGGTGGGCGCAGTGCTGTGCTGTGCAGTGTCGTATCAATAAGTTGTGGTGGGTGGGCGCAGTGCTGTGTTGTCCCAATCTTCTACTTATATCAAACGCAGGTTGTGTTACCGTTGGGAGGAGGGGGGGGGGGGCGAGTCGCACAAGACACCTTGTGACTCTACCGATGACATCAAATGACATGGCATGAAATCACTATTAGTAAATAACATCACATGACATGGCATGAAATCACTATTAGTAAATAAATTATGTATGTCTTTTATCATCCTGAATAGGGAAACATTTTAAAATTAATAATTTACAGCTAAAGCTATTAGACGAACTGCAAATAGGAGAGAAGATTTGTTGATTTTAAATAGATTTTAGGAAATACTTTCATAATTCTTTTGTATTGAACAGGTCATGTTTGACGAGGTCCTTGGCGAGCCAGACGGCGCCCACTCCTTCAACTGCGTGTGGAACTGCTCCTACAAGTGCTTCGAGTGCTGCAAGGGCTGCTGCTACAAGTCCTTGACCATGTGCTGCGGCATCCCCGTGGCCATCTGCTGGGGCTGTCAGTTCGCCTACATCACCTTCTGGCACGTGTGGTACATCACGCCGTGCATGCGGACGTACATGATCAGCTGCGGCTGCCTGCAGAAGTTCTACGGCACGTGTCTGCAGTGCTTCTGTCAGCCCCTGTTCGAGGCGTACAGCTACTGCTTCAGTAATATAAAGGTGACCAGTCTTACTGGATAACACAGGCACGGAGACTGTGAACCTCGACAACAAGTTGATGTACAAAGCTAGGTCCGGATTATCGAAATTGATGACAGAAAACAATTACACGTCATATTTGAGATAGTTATCATATATTTTTATAACAAGATAGTTTTCAGGCAAAGAAAAGAATCCTCCAACCAATATTTAAGGAAAAGTAAATATTTAACATTCTTGGTTTTATAAATAAAATGAAATAACATTTAATTTTATTTTGTGGCCCCAGTTTGAGTTTTATAATGGACAGACGGTCATCGCTTGAGTTATTTCAAAATGTAAGAAAAAGTATTATTTAACAATATTCAGAGATGATAGCTGGAAGATTTACACCCCCTTGATGGCTAGATCTTATACTGTCTATGTTTATTACAGACGCTGATATATTATTGGTTAATCATTTATATTTAAACCAGATTGTAAATATGTTTTGAAAATAACAACAAATACTGAATCCAATGCTGCCTGTGATATTTGTATTATATTTTATATTAGATTTAAAAAAAAATTTATACTTTTTTGTCTGTGATAAGAAATATACATCCTCTACTTTCTGAATAAAACTCAAATTATTTAAAGCCAACTATTCAAAATTTCGTTTGTTTCGGAATGAGTTCATTGTAAGGTTCGTTGTTGACCATTTATTCTCCAGCCTGGTGGTGGTGTTGTTTTTTTAAAAACCGAGGTCTCATTTTTGTTCATAGTGATAAATTCTATTGTCATTTCTATTTGTAGCCGTGCCGACTGGTTGATTGGTAGGTGGTGACTGAAAGTTTTAAATTTTAGTCTACAAACCCAAGAAAAATGAGGTCTTGAGAGCTATAGCTCTATTGGTTCTTAGTGTCTTGTATAAGAAACAGTAAAAAAATAACAAGAAAAAACACAAAATCTGAAAAGATTCATGTATAGCACACGTTATTTTAAGTGACTAAAATTCAAGTCTATACAAGTATCAATAAACTCGCTGGATAACTATGGGAAACACATGTTTTACAGGTTATTCAACGCATGAAAATCAATAAAGAAACACGGAGAATCACTGTGGCTTTAACATATTTTTCAAAGTATGATGGCAAACATTCTTAACTAGTTATAAACACATATTTCATGACGAGACAAAATGCGTGTTGGATAATAAAGTTGTACAGCAAAGATGATTAATTATAATAGTAGACCAAACATGAGCATCCAAAGGCAAAAAAAATAAAATATTCCGTTCATAATATTTAATTATTACTGAAGTCATGCTGTGTTTTTTTTAGCGCATATGAGGAGTAGAAAGTTTTGCGCTCCGAATCTATGTGAGATGTGAGATACATACATTTCGATACATTTATTTTCACACATATCAAATATCTATCCAAAGTTCGGAGACCCTGGGGTACGCACGGATTGAGTTAACATTCAAATTCTGGATTCTTGGTTGTTACGATGATAATGTCGTCCACGTGGGTCTATGTAAGAGTAAGAGTTAAACGCATGACGGTATGTTTAACTCGAGCACTATTAAGGACAATCGTTTGCTGGATACTGACATATACGATAAATCATTTAGGCATGGTGCTTTCAGCGTGTGTAGATAGACTCATACACCTTATAGATGCTAGTTGTAAACGCACGCACACGTGGAGTCTATACACGACATGACACGAGGCAGTATGTTTTTCTCTGGCGATATCATTGTTATAGGGTGCAATCAATGAGCTCGACAAATAATTAAATGAAAATACTACTTAACATGATCAGTGATAAACCAGAATTTGCCCATAACAACCACATAATAAAATCTACTCTACACAATAAGAATACAACATGCATTTCAATTAACAAGAAGTGGCCAAATGGATCGGTGAAATAAATAAAACCCCTTTTTGCTTTATTAAAGTCTGCTTGATACAAAATTTAGCCGGTAAGACTAGGCCTACCGAGGATAGGACATATGCCGACATTTCAAAGGGAACTACGTCAGAACCAGAACCAAGAGGAAGGCGCAAGTTACCTTCTGGCCTCATGTTGTCCACGGGATGGTCAATCGTCGTGCATGGAAAAAACTTGACGGAATAGTTACCAGTAGCTGTGCGACTTTTAAACTTCAGTGTGTGCCTGTGTGTGTGTACGTGTTATGGTATAACCTGATGTTTTATAGAGAGTATGTGTGTCACCTTATTAGTATTGAGAGACACCTTGGCATATCAAGTTAAGCCACTTGTAATTTCAAATTGAAAAAGTACACATGTAAAATGCATTAAATGTCAGAATAATGAAAGGCTCCTTTATTGCCCTGTCTCTGACGTCTCAGGGGGAGTTTATTCTAGTAAGTTCAGTTTCAATGACAAAAACAGATTTTAAAGAAAATGCTGCATTTGTCTCTGTCTCTCTCTCTCTCTCTGTCCCTCTCACTCTCTCCCTGATCGCTGTCCTAACGACAGCCCTGCTATCTATTTGAACTTAAAGTTAGGTCAAACATTTGATTCAGACTTGAATTGTCCCTGTCCACGGGCGCTTCTCCTAAAATACGTTATTTTAAAACCTTGCATCGCTACTGTCGCTGACGTAGGCAGCATATTTGTCGCACTGACAAGCTTGCGCACCTTCGCCCATGTCACACACACACACACACACACACACACACACACAAACACACACATATGTTATTTATCCATTGCTAGTTTAAGTAAACACAATCCTCCAAAGAAGACCATGGCGTCGGGTTTGGTCAATGAAATTTGCATTTCCTTATTGCCAGGAATGAATGTCTAAAAAATCATCGTCCAGTCCCTGTCATCATATACGTCATCAAAGTTCAATTCGGATAAAATACCCTTTTTGTAAAAAAAAAAAACAAATACAAAAAAACAACTAGTCAGTGCAAATTTTATCTGAAAAATAAACACCATCCGGTCTGGGTGGAATAAGTGTTCCGACTTCCCAGCACAGTCAAGTACACGGATATATTTGTCTCTTGACAGTCAGCCTCGACCACCGACCAAAGAATCACCCGATTCGGATGAACTTCGCCTCACGCAGTCCGTCAAAAGACAGGTCATGCTGGCGTAATGCTCGTTTTTGTAATCTCATACTCTACGCAGAGAGTGCTTTCAATTTTAAAAGATTCACCTCTGCGCCCGCTCTCCGTACGCTTATCTGAAGGGCGTTGGCGGTTAAGGTATTCATCTGTCATGCTCGTTGGGCGGAACACACAAATAAAAATGGGGCTGGGTCGGGATAAGGAGAGGCGATGTTGATTTGCTCTTTGCGTTTCCAATATTTTCAATACGCCAATCAATACTTTTGCCCACTTCTCAATAAGCGCTCTCCGCACTTTTCCCAAACGTTTGGGTGGGCATGTGTGTGTGTGCGCCCCCCCCCCCCCGTTAGCTGTGTTGACCGGAGGACTCGCTTAGCAACAGATAGCTGTTTTGTTGGCTCACCGCCCGTCCGAGGAAGATTTAGATCTTATATCCCAACAGTTCGGCTGTTTTGGCTTCACATCCATTTCGGAGATTTCATCGGAGACATCCTCGGGTTTTTGAAAACTTCTAGACGTGTCGTTAGTTCGATACGACTCGATTCAACATGGGCTACGAGCTGGATATGATCAACAGGGATCCCAATGGTCTCAACGACCACGTGAGGGTATGTCCAGCACACATCTTAGTGTAGACTAGACGTAATTTAATAATATTACGAATATTTGTGTAATGTTTCTTGTAATTGGCTCGTGATATTAAAAGTAACCTCCACATTTATCTACAGTAACACTAAGCAATATTTAACACACAAATAAAAGAACAAAAAAAAATTCTATGGTGCCTGTAATAATGATCAAAGAGCGAATTAAATCAAAAAGCGAAATTGGAACTTAAATATTTTTTTTGTCCAATATATTTTTGCATCTAATTAGAAGACCCTAGGGCTAAATATACTTTACTTAAAAGTCACATTTAAAAAAAAAAATCAATTTAAACTGCGGCCCTTTCTTATAGGGTTTAGCCAAGTGTGCTGCAGAAATTTGAAAAAAAATTAAAATGGGTTTAAGTTCCTGAATTAAACAAGACTAAAAATGAAAATGATCACGTTTTATAGACGCAAACATTATTTGAGCTTGATTATCTCAGAATGAATATTTTGTGACTTTAAGTACTTTTAGCACTAAGGTCTTCTAATGCATTTCTACAAGTCAGTGCTAGAGTAATTATTTCTCTTTTGATCTCATTGGTTTGTTCCCCATCTAAGGCGGGTCTCTAAACCCTTGTGATGTAGATACTACATTGCATACCCTACAGTGAGACACCGTGCAGAAAATAGTAATAACCAAAAATTTAGCTTTAAAAAAAATGTTTTCGAATTTTAAAAAAAATAATATACAAATTTCTATATGATCTAAACAAAACATGGATTAAATTTATTTTTTTTTGGACCAGGTTCTTTTTGATGAAGTTCTCGCCGAGCCAGACGGCGCCCATTCTTTCAACTGCGTGTGGAACTGCGCCTTCAAGTGCTTCAACTGCTGGAAAGGCTGCTGCTACAAGACCTTGACCCTATTCTGCGGCATCCCGCTGGCCATGTGCTGGGGATGCGAGTTCGCCTACATCACCTTCTGGCACGTGTGGTACGTCACCCCATGCATGAGGACCTACATGATCAACTGCGGATGTCTCCAGAAGTTCTACGGCACTTGTCTGCAGTGTTACTGCCAACCGCTCTGCGAGGCCTACAGCTACTTCTTCAGCAACATCAGAGTGACAAATTATTCGGGATAATGTTTACCGAGGTGTTGTTTGAAAGGAGCTTAATGTTTTTCATTGAACTGGCCAACTTGGCAATCTTTTGCTTCATATCTGTGATATTATGCCAGATGATGTCTAAGTCACCAATTATAACCAATTTTAAATTTAGACAACCTATTGATAGAAAATTCTACAGATGGACAAGAAAGGTCTTCGAAACTAAACTATACTTTAATTTATTTTTACGTTTCTCAAATGGCTGGATTTTTAATCAAGGAAAATGCATTAAATAGAACACTGGTAAATGGCTACCACTTTGCTATTATTTGGAACTGTGAACAAAAAATCCTCCTGTAATATATTGTTTCCCAAAGCAATGTTCTTATGTTGCCCCTTTTTTCAAATGTTCGTTCTTTATTTCGTTACAAAATCATCGCAAAGTCATCAAGATAAATCTGTGATATTTTTTTTGATTGAAATATTTGTGATTTTTGTCTCACCCCTTTTTCAATTAATCTATGCCCATATTTTTGTTTTACAACCGATTGCTACAGGGATCTCATAGGACGTACGTAGTCAACAAAATGTACTTTCGCTTTGTACAAACAGCACTAATAGTAATTAACATTTCCTTTTTTTTTTTGGATGTTTGTTGCAGCACACGGTATTAAATATGCACATATGCCAGTACATGGATGCAGCAACGTACCCTATCAGAATCAGACTTAGGAACATGCCCTTGATGAAGGCTTTGAATGAAATGGCCTGGATATGGATACAACCCACGCCTTTAACATGGCGGGAATGTTGCCCTAACCAACTAACATCTGTTTCTCACTTTTGGGGCTACACGCCCTTTCTACTTCCGACACGCCTGTGGCACATTAAGTCGCACTTGCCTTCGGAGTCTTAGTGACATAGATTGTGAAATAGAACGATCGGAGATCTGTCAATCTTAGTTGGTATTAAAATAAAATGTAAGACTGAGCAAAGTTCCAAAATGTCATATCGCTATGAGATGGGCAACCCTAATTCATCCTTTATCAATATGTAATGGGCAACCCTATTTTATCAATATGAGATGGGCAACCCTATTTTATCAATATGAGATGGGCAACCCTATTTTATCAAGATGAGATGGGCAACCCTATTTTATCAATATGAGATGGGCAACCCTATTTTATCAATATGAGATGGGCAACCCTATTTTATCAATATGAGATGGGCAACCCCATTTTATCATTATGAGCTGGGCGACCCTGATGTAAAAATTAATTATTTTTTTTTGGGAAAAACATTCAAAGGAGCATGACACAAAACTCACGTCAATGTAAATACACTGTCTGATTATTTCAAACTTAGACAACCCCCGTATTATTATATCATCTCAATGCTGCTAATTGCCTTTCATATGTGTCAATCACTGTTTTTCTTTTATCTCTCCACCCATCTACACCTGTCAAATAATTTAAATCATTGATCTCTTTTTTTTTTTTAAATGTTTGTAACGTCATATAAAAGAATGCATGATACCAATTTAAAATCGCAAAACTTCCTTTGTAAAACATTTTTTTTATAAAGTTATAACATGTTTCTTTTAGATTTAATTGTATTACAAGAATGAATCCAATCCAGCTTTTTCTCAGCTGAACGCACGCTCCATCATGGAAACTTGGCAAAATTTTAGGAATATTGAGATAAAATCTTGAAACCACTGATTTACTTAAATAAATTTCACGCTGGAATTGATAATACCAAATAGTAAACACCCCATAATATTATTCAAAAAGAATTTTTTAATAGAAAATTTAGATTTGGCTTAAACACGTATGTTATTTAAAAATTCAGATTTATTTGGAAATTCATTTGAAGCGTCACTCTCTTTGATGAGCATCGCATTTGAATACATGAATGCTATAAAAGCAATGAACTTGTTTTTTGTAGTTTTTATTCATATTATCTATATCATATTGTGTTATTTGAATTTATTTTGGATGGCAATTGCGCTCCACTTATTTTGATTTAAAATTTCATCTCCCTCCTTCTCTCACTCTACCTCGCGTCTCATCTCGATTAACAATGTCTCAGCATCTCTGCATTTTTTCTAACTTTCCTTTAAGGAGAAGACATTAATTGTTGATTGTAACATAATGTCATGGTTTACACTTGTTATAGTCAGCAATTTTTCTCTAACTTTACACTGTGAGTGACCGGCAGGAGATAGCTACATCCCAGCAAATGACCGGTGCCATCCAATTTGTTGTAAATAGTTCGTATGCGAACTTAACTATAACATTTTTTTTTAAAAAATGCCATTATTGCAAGGGAAACCTTTCTCTCTAGCAGTAAGCCCGGTGCCCTTACAACTGTGTCGTGGGTTCGCGTTCTCGACAATGGCTGTGAAAGACGTCATTATAGGCACACACCATTATACCTTATTTAAATACCATGTATTTCTAAATATCAATATCCTAGTGTCGATCTGATCTATCAGGGGCGTATTTCAGTAACTGTAATATAATTACACTCTGGGCTGGAAAGTGTGTTTGCAGGAATGAATCATTGGTTTAAAAATAGAGATTTTAAGAATAAAATATAAGCCTTTGGCAACAAACAAACAAATGCTTTTCTTTCCAAAATATTTTGTTTACAAATTGTGGAACAAGATATTATGTTTAGATTTGAACAAAAAAAGACAGTACAATTAAAAAGACGTTTCGGCAAAATGCCTTCTTTAGCCTACAATACAAAACAAGAAAAACACATTATTTGAAATGTTAAAACTTCAGGTGATCCTAGATCAAAATGTAGCTCTCTCAGATCACAATGTAGTTCTCTCAGATCACAATGTAGCTCTCTCAGATCACAATGTAGCTCTCTCAGATCACAATGTAGCTCTCTCAGATCACAATGTAGCTCTCTCAGATCACAATGTAGCTCTCTCAGATCACAATGTCTCTCTCTCAGATCACAATGTAGCTCTCTCAGTGTCTGTTTAGAAACAAAGGCGAACCATAAAAACGGATGTTTAAACCAAAACGTGCCTCTCGCAAAATGATTAGCTTTCGTTGAGTTAGTCGCACCCATTCCACCCACTGTTGGGTACGCCTTGACTTTCTACAACAGATCATTCCAAGAAAAGTCTTCCCACGAAGTCTTTTGAATGTGTTTGTATGTCTAGCAACTCGTGACTGGCTGGCGATCATTGAGCTCGAGCAAGAACAACGTTTTCAGACCGGTATTGAAGCTGTATGAAACTCACAGCAACACACACACACACACACAGTCAATCAGAACTCACATACACTTGCCACAACAACAGCTCTAGCCAAGTGAGAACAACATCGCCATGACATACGAGATTGATATGATCAACAGGGATCCCAATGGTCTCAACGATCATGTCAAGGTAGGTTGAAGATACAAAAGTTTTAAATATCGGTTTTTATAGATTGTTAAGTGTGTAGTAATGAAGATTATGTACAGCGTAAAGTATATAATTAATGAAGATTAAATCGATTTTAAAGTATGTAGTAATGAAGATCATATATATTATAAAGTGTGTAGTAATGAAGATTATTTACATTGTAAAGTATATAAGAAATGGAGATTATATAGATTGTTAAGTATGAAGTAACGAAAATTATGTAGATAGTAAAGTATGTAGTAATGAAGATAATGTAGATTGTAAAGTATGTAATAATGAAGATTCTTTAGATTTTAAAGTGTGTAGTAATGAAGATTATGTAGTTTATAAAGTATGTAGCAATGAAGATTAAATAGATTGTGAAGTATAATCGTTCTTGTTGTTTCCCATTACATCATAGAGCTTGGACTACTTCACCTGATCTCCAAGCAATGTGTATTCTAAGAAATATAGCTTAGGTAGCTAAGATTATTATTTAAACTTGAGTTACTTAAGTGCATCACAGCATAGGTCTTACTCTAAACGTTCTAAGCGAATTTAAATAGCCAAATTTTGTGTAGCTCCTATCACAATGGTTCTGCTATTAAACTGAAGTTGATTCCTTTTAAAAGTCGATATTATAAATTCTGCCATAAGACTAATTCAAACACACTGAAATCGATCTTCTATTGAATGGTGTTATTCATTTCTTTCCTTCAATTGATCACCGCCGTAGTGGAAGGTACACCACTGTCATGTTTTACCGTATCATATCTAAAAATACCCACTGCGAAATTTATATTGACTAATGGCTGCTAAAGAATTCAAGGGGTGTGTACGTCACAAATTACGGTTAAAAGACTGTTTTATTTTCGGTTAAATTTTTAGAGGGTCCCCCCCCCCCGCCCCCACACCGCACTTATAAGACTGTGAGAAATTTTGTATAGCATGTTTTTGTGAATTTAAACATATTAAGATTCAAGTGAAGAACAGGGTCTTAAGTGGATTTTGACTGTTTTATTTTCCGTTAAATTTTTAGAGGGGCCCCCCCCCCCGCCCCCACACCGCACTTATAAGACTGTGAGAAATTTTGTATAGCATGTTTTTGTGAATTTAAACATATTAAGATTCAAGTGAAGAACAGGGTCTTAAGTGGATTTTTGGGGCCCGAGCAAATCCAAAACTTTTGGGCATCACAAATTTTTAAGTTAATTTTCTCAAAGTTTTTGAGACATTACACCATTCACTAAAGAACTTTTCGCTTAAATGTCTCTCATCAGATCACTCTGATCTGCGATTCAAGACGATGTAGTCTTCTTTGTGAGGCGTGTCTGTTCACGCTCTGCAACGGGGATCTACTTCTTATTCAATTCTCCATCATGAGATCATTTCAAGTGCTAAAATCATGCGATTTCGCTTTTCAGAACAAACTCTTAGAGTGCGTAGAGAGAATGAGTTTGACTTCTTGATGCACACATCAATTAGCGTCAGTATGGCTTGCAACTTAAACAAAAAAAAAAAAAAAAAAGTTTAATTTCTTAAAACAATTGGTAACTGTACACCAACTTAGGGCATTACACAATTTTTTTTTCGTTTTTGTTGGTGTCCTTCACTTTTTAAAATTTAAATGTAGAGATCGGAAGATCAAGAAAATTTTACTTTAAATCATTTATAAATATATTCCTCTCTTAATTCTGAAGTGTGTACATGTATGTTATAGCCCTATTAAAAAAAAAATATAATGAAAAGGACGTCTCGCCTGAAAGCCTTCGTAAAAAATAAACAACAAAAAACAACAGCAAAACTATAAAAACAATAGAGAAAACAATCACAAATTATTTTAGCAAAAAAGGAAATTTTTCAAAAATCATTTACAGCTGTACTTCGGGATACGAACTTAATTCGTTCCGAACTCGGTGCGTAACCTAAAACATTGAAATCAATGAAATAGAGACAATTCGTTTCTTGATGAAGGATTCGTTCTTTTTATTAACAATCGGTCGTTTATCTGACAAAACGCAAAGAATACGTTCACAACGTGTATTAAATAAAAGGAATGAAAACATCCAAATAAATTAAATGTAAAATTTAAATTAAAAAAGGATTTAGTCTGTGTTTCTTATCAAGAAAACGATCGTGGGAAATGTGTCAGTTTCTGTGCTACTCTAAATCATTCGTTTCAGGAACTTCTTGCCACTGTTTCTTGACAGCCAACTGGGAATATTTCTGCACCAAGAAACTATCAAGGGAAATGTGTCTCTTCCTTTGCTGGAGAATCTTTCTGAAGTGGGACATCGCGTTATCATTCATCAAGTTTACTTGCCCCCCCCCCCCTGTTGGCAACACGTTTTTCTGGATGATGGTTCACAATGAAATCTTCGACGTCTGCCCACCTGCTGCTAATTTATGAAATGCTGTCAGCTGAAACGGTCACCGGCTCCTCGTGATCGGACTACTGCTCCTCCTTTAATGTATTGAGCTGTTCAATACGAAGATCTACAAGTTCACCTGTTGCTCCTCCTTTAATGTATTGAGCTGTTCAATACGAAGATCTACAAGTTCACCTGTTGCTCCTCCTTTAATGTATTGAGCTGTTCAATACGAAGATCTACAAGTTCACCTGTTGCTCCTCCTTTAATGTATTGAGCTGTTCAATACGAAGATCTACAAGTTCACCTGTTGCTCCTCCTTTAATTTATTGAGCTGCTCAATACGAAGATCTACAAGTTCACCTGTACTAGACTAGAAGGCTTGCTCTAAGCGATGTTAGTGCTGCGTGGTCTTCGTTTGTGCTGTACGTGATCGTTTGTCTCCAACGTGAAACCTTGCTCTTCCCACCCACCCCCTCTCTCTCTCTCTCTCACACACACACACACACATACACACACACACACTATCGACTTCGTTCATAACGCGAGGCACTGCTCGTTACCTGAGACAAAAAAAAATAAATTTGAAGTTGTTGTTCATAGCCCGAATTGTTCATGATCTGAGGCGTTCGTAAACCGAGGCTACACTGCATAATTATTGATAGCCATGATGTTGTTTTTTTTACAGAGTGAGTAACATCATAATCTCTTTGAATTAAACCAAACAGCATGACACACTTTTGCCCTTTCTCTCCAGGTCCTCTTTGAAGACGTCCTCGCTGAGCCAGACGGCGCCCACTCCTACAAGTGTTTGTGGAACTGCGCCTACGAATGTTTCAACTGCTGGAAAGGCTGCTGCTACAAGACCTTGACCCTACTGTGCGGCATCCCGCTGGCCATCTACTGGGGGTGCGAGTTCGCCATCATCACCTTCTGGCACGTGTGGTACATCAGCCCGTGCATGCGGGCCTACATGATCAACTGCGGATGTCTGCAGAAGTTCTACGGCGCGTGTCTGCAGTGTTACCTCCAGCCGTTGTGTGATGCGTGCGGCTACTTCTTGAGTAACATCCGGGTGACGAGCTATTCAGGATAACGCTAAACTGGATGGATCATTCCTTGTTTGACGGGCTTCCACAACATTTTTAAAGACGAGAGTAAGCAAAATGGTTGTGCCGATGACATCATCCGTTTATGACGCAGACCATTTTTTCACACATAAATATGTTTCTTTGCTCCCAAAACATTGACTTTGTTCAACTTCACAGTCAACTGAAGCAATCAGAAAATAGAATATTCAAATTTTTAAACTATACATTTGTTTGCAAAATTCACGCTTTTTCAGTAATTTAAAAAAGAAATGGTCTAAATAAACACCTCTCTATCTCATAAATTGTGTTCATTTTTTTTTCGAACTGGATTTTTTCAGTAATATAACAATATAATACATAATAATAACACCTTTCATAACAAATCAAAAGAAAGGCAACGAATTCGCTCTTGCATTTATTTGAAGTAAAAAGAAGAGTTACCCAAATCAAATTAAGCGCAGAAACATAGGTAAGATATAAGACATACATCAAATAAAAAGAACGACAGTTCTCATTATACACGTTTTCCTGATTGAAATACAAAAACCAAGTAAAAATATTATTTTAAAAATAATTTTTGAAATTCTTTTTTTTTGGTTCTGTTTAAGATGGAGAGTTGGCTGACTCATTTGTATTCACTGCTGCACCTGGCTCTCTTAGTTTAAACGGAAGTTCTGTGTATCCAGTGCTTGGTTCAGCTTTCGAGAGGCCCTAGGTTAGTTTAATTTTGAGGCCCCATCATCACTTAATAAAAGTAAAATAAAAAAAAAATAGTGCTTTCTAAAATATTCAGTTGTTTGTTAGCGTTTGCACAAACCATTGTAATAATAATGTTTGTTATATATTTGTGTTATATCAAATATCAATTATACTGCAGTATGTACATTTTATAACCTGGAATTTGTTCTTAAGAAGGTAATGTCCACATGATAGTGCAGCACTAAGTCCAACTTATCATTAATCAATAGAATATATGACCCGAGGTTACTGCGATAATAATGGTAGGCATTTTGCGATACTTTCTACAAGCCATTGCGAAGTCTCGACCCCCTAACGTATATAACTGACACAGGTTTTGATGTTGTGTAGACTTATAAAAAAAACAACAAAACGACGCCATTCCATTGACTTGAAATGAATATTTAGGAAATAGTTAACCAGACTTTCCTTATTTTAAAAAAAGAAATCTAAACAATGACTTTTACGTTTCTAACATCATTTTAGCTTTGAGAAAAAATTAACTGCCATATAATATTTGCTAACCCTAACAATGTACGCCCACCTGAATTACATTTTTCTCTCTTTAAAAATTGTCACTAAAAAAAAAACTACACAAAAAAACAAACAAACAAAACATGTCCTTAAATTTACCCCTCAAAAATCTATATTCAATTGCTTTTAAATTAACAAAATTTGATATATTGATATCTTCATTAAAAATGTAACCAAACTTTCCTCTCGCTTCTCTTGTTTAGTATCGGAAAATTGTAAAATACAAACTTTTTTTATCGAAAAAAAAATCTCTTAACCAATTTTCACGTCTGTAACAGCCATGTGTGTTTATATTTAAAATAAAATTTGCTTAATTTCATAGATATTTTTACCCACATTTTCTTGAACTTTACTTTACTAAGTGGAAGCAAAAATATATTTTCATAATTTAAAAAAAAAAAAAATCATAACGCATCTTTGTTCACGCCCATGAACTTTAAAGGAACAAAATATGGCTCTATTTTTAAGATTAAATGTTTCGGTGGGTATAATGATTGCGTTTGAGAAGTATTTTTAGGTGCTGGTATGCTTATGTAAATGTACCCAATTTTTTCGACACCCTTGGACTATATTTTCTAAATTATACATTTATTTTAAAAGGAGATGCAACACCTCTTTTTCACGACTGCAATATCTTTGGATTTAAAGATATTGTCATCCACAAAAAAATGTACACATTCCTCCCCCTGATTTGTGTTTACCGAAGAACGTTAATTATTTATCAAATTCTCTCCTTCATTCTTAGGCGTATCTTGTGCTGCCTGGGGCAAAATGAAAGTTTCAAACTCCCCCTCCTCCCATGTTTTTTAATAAAATTTAAAAAAAAATCATGCACGGGAATGATATCTCCTTACATAAGCAACAAAACATTTTTGCACGCCCCTCAAATTTATTAAAATTGTAAAACGCCAGCACCTTTTAAAACATATTGTTTTATATTTTCTTTAAAAATTGGTTTGACGTATTTCTCCGGATATTGAAAGATTATGATGATTTATTTAACATTGAAACCTTTACCAAAGTTTACATTTGTGACAAAATTGGGTTTTGAGATATTGATATCAAAATAAACCGATTGCAACTTCATATTTGGTTTGTTCTTATTTGGATGGGTGATAAGTGAATGAGTGAGTGGTATTTGGCTGTGAATTTTCGTTGCACTTAACCGCTTAAACAGTATTTTCTTATTCAAACATTTTTAACATTAAGTTTTATTACTTTATAAATTTGATGAAAGCACTTTATTTTGGAATAAAATTGAGTAAACCTCATTAAATGTTTAAAAATACAAAGCAAAAATTCGGGCTGGTGAATTAACAATTAAAAATTCAATCAATTATATTGCTTATTTTATTTTTAAAGGGGTAGCACCTTTATCAGTTTTGTCACACGGGTTTACTAAATCAACAAAAATTAAAGCTTGTGATTTACGAGTTTAAATTATACTCTTATAAGATTATTCTAATTGCTGTTTCTTTGAGTTCAATCAAAAATAAGTTTAATTTGATATTGTTTGAAGACAAATGGACCATCAATTTAAATTTAATGTCACGTTATTAACAACGCAATTGTCGTCAACGTCAAATGGATTTCTCGGCTATTGCTAAGATCCTAGTGGAGCATCATTTCACGTCAGGTTACCAAACCACTCTGGGTGCCCCGAGAAGCTTTATATTTTTTTGTTTTGCCAGTACCAGGAAGATCGGTTGAATAATGAGAGACCCGCAAGGCCAGACGTTGAAGGATTTCCAGCGTATAACATTAGAACCTGGGGGGTGACAACCCCCCCCCCCCCAACACATGACATGAAATGGTTGGTACATGATGGCTTAAGTCATTTTAATTTGTAATAAATTTTCGTAAAGGACAATTTGGAGGCCCTTCGCTTAAGCCTATTTAGGCTGTTGGGGAAATCCAGCCAGTGTATATTCATTTTCTTTCATCTACACGTTTGACAGATCGAGACTCAGGCTACTTGTATAGCGATTCAGAAGTCCACTTTAGACTTAGATGTAGTGGACTAGATTCTAGCCCTTTGAAATTCCCATGTTCAGATTAATAATCATTTTAATTACCATTACCAAAGCAAACATTAACAAATAAATAAATGACAAACAAACATACATATTTATGCATCGCCCATGAAAGTCAAAAAGAAGTTCGGTAAAAAAAATAATGAAACGTTGTAATGCGAAACCAAGGAAACACAATACAGGAACTGCTCATCCTTGCCAAAGACAATACAGGAACTGCTCATTCTGGCCAAAGACAATACAGGAACTGCTCATCCTTGCCAAAGACAATACAGGAACTGCTCATCCTGGCCAAAGACAATACAGGAACTGCTCAAGCCGGCCAAAGACAATACAGGAACTGCTCATCCTAGCCAAAGACGATACAGGAACTGCTCATCCTGGCCAAAGACAATACAGGAACTGCTCAAGCCTGCCAAAGACAATACAGGAACTGCTCATCCCTGCCAAAGACAATACAGGAACTGCTCATTCTGGCCAAAGACAATACAGGAACTGCTCATCCTTGCCAAAGACGATACAGGAACTGCTCATCCTGGCCAAAGACAATACAGGAACTGCTCAAGCCTGCCAAAGACAATACAGGAACTGCTCATTCTGGCCTAAGACAATACAGGAACTGCTCATTCTGGCCAAAGACAGTACAGGAACTGCTCATTCTGGCCAAAGACAATACAGGAACTGCTCATCCATGCCAAAGACAATACAGGAAATGCTCATCCCTACCAACGACAATACAGGAACTGCTCATCTTTGCCAAAGACAATACAGGAACTGCTCATCTTTGCCAAAGACAATACAGTAACTGCTCATTCTGGCCAAAGACAATACAGGAACTGCTCATTCTGGCCAAAGACAATGCAGGAACTGCTCATTCTGGCCAAAGACAATACAGGAACTGCTCATTCTGGCCAAAGACAATACAGGAACTGCTCATTCTGGCCAAAGACAATACAGGAACTGCTTATTCTGGCCAAAGAAAATCAGGGGCTGTAACAAGCTTCCAAAAGGATCATGTGAGGGGACAGCGCTTTACACATTTGCGTCTATTGCCTCCTGCCTTCCAACTCCCGATTCCCTCACTGAGTAGCCCTTGCAACCAGCGAAATATCCTCCTCAATACCAGGCACAGGTCTTAGAAATAAATGATAAACCATTTCCTTATCAACCTTCCCTCTTTGGGTTTGTTATTCTTTTGACGTTCTATCACTTAATTTATTAATGATATTAAGAATATATATATATTTATTGTTTATATATACGTGTGTGTGTGTGTGTGTGTGTTCGTTATCCTGTGCGAAGATGACAAAGGCAAGACTGTGAGTAGTAGCCGTGACCCAAATTGTATTTAGTTAAAGAGAGGGAGAGTTGTGCCCTTCACCAGCCTCACGTTCATCCTTGCCTATTTGTTCCAATGACGAAACTTTGTCAAGACGATTGAAATATAGGCAAGGAAGTAGTGGTTGACCAATCTCAAGACTTAGTATAGGCAAGGATGTAGTGGTTGACTAATGTCAAAACATAGTCAAGATAGGCTGGAATGTAGTGGTTGACCCGTGTCAAGACTGTCAAGACTACTGGAAATAGGCTTGGATGCAATGGATGAACAATGACAAGACTTAGTCAAGACGACTAGAATATAGGCTGGGATGTAGTGGATGACCAATCTCAAGACTGAGTCAAGGCGACTGAGAGATATGGATGTAATGGATGAACAATGACAAGACTTAGTCAAGGTGACTGAGAGATAGAGATGCAGTGGATGACCAATGACAAGACTTAGTCAAGGTGACTGAGAGATCGGGATGCAATGGATGAACAATGACAAGACTTAGTCAAGGTGACTGAGAGATCGGGATGCAATGGATGAACAATGACAAGACTTAGTCAAGGTGACTGAGAGATAGGGATGTAATGGATGAACAATGACAAGACTTAGTCAAGGCGACTGAGAGATCGGGATGCAATGGATGAACAATGACAAGACTTAGTCAAGGTGACTGAGATAGGGATGCAATGGATGAACAATGACAAGACTTAGTCAAGGCGACTGAGAGATAGGGATGTAATGGATGAACAATGACAAGACTTAGTCAAGGTTACTGAGAGATAGGGATGTAATGGACGAACAATGACAAGACTTAGTCAAGGCGACTGAGAGATAGGGATGTAATGGATGAACAATGACAAGACTTAGTAAAGGTGACTGAGAGATAGGGATGTAATGGATGAACAATGACAAGACTTAGTCAAGGCGACTGAGAGATAGGGATGTAATGGATGAACAATGACAAGACTTAGTCAAGGTGACTGAGAGATCGGGATGCAATGGATGAACAATGAGAAGACTTAGTCAAGGTGACTGAGAGATAGGGATGCAATGGATGAACAATGACAAGACTTAGTCAAGGTGACTGAGGGATCGGGATGCAATGGATGAACAATGACAAGACTTAGTCAAGGCGACTGAGAGATAGGGATGTAATGGATGAACAATGACAAGACTTAGTCAAGGTGACTGAGAGATAGGGATGTAATTGATGAACAATGACAAGACTTAGTCAAGGTGACTGAGAGATAGGGATGTAATGGATGAACAATGACAAGACTTAGTCAAGGCGACAGAGAGATCGGGATGCAATGGATGAACAATGACAAGACTTAGTCAAGGTGACTGAGAGATAGGGATGCAATGGATGAACAATGACAAGACTTAGTCAAGGCGACTGAGAGATAGGGATGTAATGGATGAACAATGACAAGACTTAGTCAAGGTGACTGAGAGATAGTGATGTAATGGGCGAACAATGACAAGACTTAGTCAAGGCGACTGAGAGATAGGGATGTAATGGATGAACAATGACAAGACTTAGTCAAGGTGACTGAGAGATAGGGATGTAATGGATGAACAATGACAAGACTTAGTCAAGGCGACTGAGAGATAGGGATGTAATGGATGAACAATGACAAGACTTAGTCAAGGTGACTGAGAGATAGGGATGCAATGGATGAACAATGACAAGACTTAGTCAAGGTGACTGAGAGATAGGGATGCAATGGATGAACAATGACAAGACTTAGTCAAGGTGACTGAGAGATAGGGATGCAATGGATGAACAATGACAAGACTTAGTCAAGGTGACTGAGAGATAGGGATGCAATGGATGAACAATGACAAGACTTAGTCAAGGTGACTGAGAGATCGGGATGCAATGGATGAACAATGACAAGGCTTAGTCAAGGTGACTGAGAGATAGGGATGCAATGGATGAACAATGACAAGACTTAGTCAAGGGGACTGAGAGATAGGGATGCAATGGATGAACAATGACAAGACTTAGTCAAGGCGACTGAGAGATAGGGATGCAATGGATGAACAATGACAAGACTTAGTCAAGGTGACTGAGAGATCGGGATGCAATGGATGAACAATGACAAGACTTGGTCAAGGTGACTGAGAGATAGGGATGCAATGGATGAACAATGACAAGACTTAGTCAAGGTGACTGAGAGATAGGGATGCAATGGATGAACAATGACAAGACTTAGTCAAGGGGACTGAGAGATAGGGATGCAATGGATGAACAATGACAAGACTTAGTCAAGGTGACTGAGAGATAGGGATGCAATGGATGAACAATGACAAGACTTAGTCAAGGTGACTGAGAGATCGGGATGCAATGGATGAACAATGACAAGACTTAGTCAAGGTGACTGAGAGATAGGGATGCAATGGATGAACAATGACAAGACTTAGTCAAGGTGACTGAGAGATAGGGATGCAATGGATGAACAATGACAAGACTTAGTCAAGGTGACTGAGAGATAGGGATGCAATGGATGAACAATGACAAGGCTTAGTCAAGGTGACTGAGAGATAGGGATGCAATGGATGAACAATGACAAGACTTAGTCAAGGTTACTGAGAGATAGGGATGCAATGGATGAACAATGACAAGACTTAGTCAAGGCGACTGAGAGATAGGGATGCAATGGATGAACAATGACAAGACTTAGTCAAGGCGACTGAGAGATAGGGATGCAGTTTATGACCAGCAACGCTTCTAGTGTCTCACGGTACTCTCTATGCGCTCCACGTCACAGGACATGCTGAATTTTCATTCCGTCAATGTCATACAGCCTACGGGACTCCTTTTGTTGATTTGAAATCAGAATTATTGCCTTCTCTTAGAATGGTTGCCAGCAATGTTTAAAGAGTCTCTTGTAGTGAACGTGGAACATGTTTGCGAGAAATGTAATTTAAAAAAAAATTGTAACAGTTCATTTGGACATAAAGTGCAGTAGGACATAACCTACGCTGGAATTCTTTAATGTTCACTCATAATCATATTCGTACTGGTCTAGCCTGAGTCCTTAATTTTTTTTGTTTCAAAGCCAATTTCTGTCTCACTGTGACTTATAAGATTACTGAATTCAATTAATTGTCTTATAATAACATTTCTGAATCCACATGACCTATGAAATCTCTGTCTCTACATATTCTTTAATTAGTTAACCCAAGTGAGTGATGGGGATTATGGTATGGCTCAAATACAAACTCCACACTACCCTCGCGTACCTGTCGGCAAAGGTAGTGAGCCGTTGTATAAAATCTAGCCATGGAGGCCCATTCTTCCATGAATCCTCATCGTACCATTCTACAAAAAGCGCCACTGTAGAGAAACTATCCCAATGGAACGGCTTTTTTTTTACTTATAGCTTTAATCGCTCTCTTTAACGTCTGTCTTAACGTTCCTTCCGGCTGGCGTAACCTTGGGCTTCCCTGGGAAGTTAACGCAGGAAAAGGTTGCTTTTGAGCCACGTAGGCTACATGCCCGGCGGTGTACACTGGGCTTTTCAACTCAGTGCATTTGGTTTCGACTCTTTATTATACAGATTTAACAAGTCCTAACCCACGTGATTTTTTATTCTTAAATTAAATTTTTTTCAAAAGAGTAAAAAATATTTTTTTAAAATTCCAAATAATTATTTAAAACTTGTTTTGTTCTTTTCCAGAACTGCTATTTGCCAACACACGTTGGAGGCCCTTTGAAAGTGTTATAATAAGTCAGTGGAACTGAACGATTGAAAACGAAATCAAAAGGATCGATACGCATGTCCTCAAACGTCACTTCCACAATGGGGAGTGGGTCTTATTGAAGACCCCACATTGAAAACCAGGGTTTCATTTACCCTCGATAAACATTGGCGGAGTGAGGGGGGTGGGGGGAAGCCTACGGTGCATAGCTAAACCTTAATGTTGATTGGTACAAAATATCTCAGTCCTTTGGAACTCGTCCTCATTTTGAATTACCCCCTCCCCCCTTCCAACCACCCTTCTTTCTATTCCATGACCATTGGGAGTGTATTTAAAAAAAAAAAAAAATAATAATGTCTGCGATTCCGAGGTAGCGATATCGACTCCTAGTTTGACCTCCTCCCTTCAACCTCACCACCCCCCCCCCAACCCCCTAGCGGAATGGCGCATGTGTTTGTTTTAAAATACAGAAAATTATTGGCTGAAAAATAACGTCAAAAAAATTTGAATCTCCTGGCAAATTTTCGATTATCTATCATAACTCAGTAAGATGATTTATTTTTTTTTTCCACAGCGGCTTTAGTCATTAAGCTTCGAATCCGATTACGACACCACCAAATCACCTGGTCTCACCACTCTAATAATGAACGAATACGAGTTGATGTTATTTTGGTGTTTGTAACCCGACATGGCAACGCGTACTTCTATTTCCGGTACTCTCAAGAAACCCTAGTGTATATATTAGTGAAACCATGAGGGTCCAAAGATTTACCCATGGTCAGGTAGCTCACTGCCAGCTGGAGCCCATACTTGATTGAGCTATAGTGGAACAGACGACCAGCAAGCTACCATGGGTTACGAATTAGATATGATCAACAGGGACCCCAACGGGCTGAATGACCACATCAGGGTAAGTTGTGACCAAAAGTAGAATTTTATTTGTTCCTTAACTAGCAACACGGCAGGCCCAACAATAAATGGAGGAGAAAATTAGACCAACAAAAGATAAAAAATGTCACAAAGATTTACAAAATCTCTTAAAGATTTACAAAATGTCACACAGGTGTATAAAATGTCACACATATTTAAAAAATGTCACACAGATGTATAAAGTAAACGTTGATTACATTTAATTAACAATGTTCGCATTAACAAACAATAAAACGTTTTGAGAAATAATTTCAAATGGAAGATTGCAGGGACCCTACGATTCCATTTGTAAAACTGTGTAAAGATTTGTAAAACTGTGTACAGATTTGTGAAACTGTACTTCTTTGCGTAACTGTACAGATCTTTGTAACTGTGTATGTATTTGCGTAGCTGTACAAATTTGGTTAATTTCAAGTTGTGATCAAGTTAAAATAAAGTCAAAACAAAATAAGATCTAAACAAAATAAGATCTAAACAAAATAAGATCTAAACAAAATAAGATCTAAACAAAATAAGATCTAAACAAAATAAGATCTAAACAAAATAAGATCTAAACAAAATAAGATCTGAACAAACTAAGGTAGACTAAATGGAATGCCATAATAATTTTACAAACGATGTAACCCTATTTCATATGTTAAACATGACATTTTGGAGACTGTTAAACATGACATTTTGGAGACAATGTATATTTAAAAAAAAAAAAACATCTTTAGATCATTGATCTCCACAGGCGATGCGTCAGAAATCAATCAATATGTTCGTGTTTTGGAAAATATCTCGATTTATAGTTTCAAGTCCAGTGTATAATTAATATTTATATGTAGAATTTTAAAAAAAACAACCTTTATATTTAATATAGGACTTAGAAAAGTCTACTACATTTATAACTTTATAAGATCAGAGTTTTAAAAAAAAATTAATTTAATCATCACTTTTGCAATGTCATTTTACATCTATTGCAAGCTAAAGTGTTGGATATACCATTGACAGAAGCTATTGCAGGCTAAAGTGTGTGATGGGTGCAAATGACACTCACACTATTCATTATTAAAAAAAACAACAAAAAAAAACAAACAATTTTATCTTTTTTTTAAAATCACTTGTTTTATTTATGAACGTGCAAACACATCTTCAGTTCGTGCAAACACATCTTCAGTTCGTGCAAACACATCTTCGGTTCGTGCAAACACATCTTCAGTTCGTGCAAACACATCTTCGGTTTGTGTGAAGATTTTGTCCTGAGGTTCGCTTTGCATGGGCTTTACAAGATATGAATTCCTTAACGGTTTTAATTAATACTCATATCCATTTTTTAATCACGAGTCGTGCAAAATACAAAACCAGACAGTAAATGAATTTTTGTACTCTTCAGGTCCTTTTTGATGAAGTCCTCGCTGAACCAGACGGCGCCCACTCCATCAACTGCGTGTGGAACTGCGCCTACAAGTGCTTCAACTGCTGGAAAGGCTGCTGCTACAAGACCTTGACCCTCTTATGCGGCATTCCGCTGGCCATCTGCTGGGGATGCGAGTTCGCCTACATCACCTTCTGGCACGTGTGGTACGTCACCCCATGCATGAGGGCCTACATGATCAACTGCGGATGTCTACAGAAGTTCTACGGCACGTGTCTGCAATGCTACTGCCAACCGCTCTGTGAGGCCTACAGCTACTGCCTAAGCAACATCAGAGTGACGAACATGAAGGGATAACATCGCCTGGGACCGCTTCAGCCAGGGATGCTCGTCTACTCTCTAACGGATAAGAAGCAGGAGCTGCGGATGTCGCAACAATGTGACTGACGCCTCTATGTCCCCCATTTTCTTTTAATTAGTTAATTAGTAGGAGATCACGTGACTTTATTTTGACATAAAGTCACGTGATGCCTGATTGAACACAGGAATGTTGAAGTTTTGACATTTAAAATTTTTGAAAACCTCTGATTTGTAAATTTAAATACAACAGAGACAAAACGCACACAAAAATTGTATTTTTTACATTACATACATAATTTATTATTATAGTTTTCCAAATTGTGGCGAGAATCTTTATCATTCCCGATGTTGAACTTACAGCAATCACTTTTACGTGTCTATTTATTTTACAAGCGTGTTACACTTCAATCTTTAGACTTGATTACAGATCATGAAAATTATTTATTTGAGACGCAACCTACAGTACGTCCGGAAAAATGGCATGGAATGGCATCTAGTACGACCAGAAAGATGGCATGGAATGGCATAGCATGAACATTATGGAAGCTTTAATTTCGATCAACGGGTGCATTACTGCAGATATTATATTAAAATTGACAATAATTTGAATCTGTTATTTGTTGAGTTTACAAGATTATGTTATTCAAACTTGGTGATTACTTCTGTTTATTTATTACTAAGCATCACTACACGTGATTCATTTCTATCAATTAAATTAAAAAAAAAAAATTACATTAAAAAACATTTTAATTTCTTTTATATTTCAAATTTATTTATTAAAGTTTTGTGTATGTGTGTATATATGTGTGTTGGGTTAATAATGAGCTGTCTTAAATACATTTTATTTCTTCCTATTTGCTCTGTGTAGGTCAAAACGTACTATTAGCCTACTCATAGCTTGTAAGAACGTACTAATAGCATAATCATAGCTTGTAGGAACGTACTAATAGCATAATCATAGCTTGTAAGAACGTACTAATAGCATAATCATAGCTTGTAAGAACGTACTAATAGCATAATCATAGCTTGTAGGAACGTACTAATAGCTTAATCATAGCTTGTAGGAACGTACTAATAGCATAATCATAGCTTGTAAGAACGTACTAATAGCATAATCATAGCTTGTAAGAACGTACTAATAGCATAATCATAGCTTGTAGGAACGTACTAATAGCATAATCATAGCTTGTAGGAACGTACCCACAGCAAAGTTTTATGTTGGTTTTTTTGTTTTTTTTGTTTTTTTTGAAGGCAAAGTTCTTGGCCAGCCCCGGGCGACTCTAACCCTAGCTACGCCCCTGAGAATTTAATATGGCGCTAAATATCCAAAAGGTGGAAAATACAGAGAAGACAATTTGTTTAGTTTTAGGAGAAGCAAAAGGACAATGGATGAGGTGGGAATGAATGAGGTGGGAATGAATGAGGTGGGAATGAATGAGGTGGGAATGAATGAGGTGGGAATGAATGAGGTGGGAATGAATGAGGTGGGAATGAATGAGGTGGGAATGAATGAGGTGGGAATGAATGAGGTGGGAAGGGATGAGGTGGGAAGGGATGAGGTGGGAATGAATGAGGTGGGAATGAATGAGGTGGGAATGAATGAGGTGGGAATGAATGAGGTGGGAATGTTTTTTTATTTAGTGGGTTACATAAAGCCTTCCTTGTGTTTATGTGTATTGTCTAAAACAAGGGCAATATAAGCCGACCCCCCCCCCCTTTTCCCCAGGTCAGTGACGTGAACGTGTGTTTGTTTAAATTACATGTTAAATACAGGTCGCTGTTTAAATAAGGTGAGTATGTTTTAAATATCAAGAGAAATGGCCTTAGACACGAAAAGCTTTTAGCGAAGAGAAATAATTTTAACTGAGGACTTTACTCGAAATTTCAATTTGGTTGGAGTCAGGTGCCCTTGAAACTCGATATCACACCACCGGGGCGCAACTATTATATTTACCTCGAGAGCCAGCGCACCGTTCCTCCTACCGGGCCCCTTGATTGGTACTGCATGCCCCAGGCTTGATACTGCATGCCCCTGGCTTGATACTGCATATTCACTTGCTTGATTCTACACCCCACTGACTTGATTCTGCATGCAACTCTCTAGATTTTGCATGCTGCTGGCTAGATTCTGCACATTCACTAGATTGATACTACACCTCACTCGCTTGATTCTGCGCGCCACTGGATTAATACCGCATGCACTGTCTAGAGTGTGCTGCCAGTCGCTTGGTACTGCATGTCTCTGGCTAGGTTCAGCATGCCAGTCACTTGGTACTGCATGTCTCTGGCTAGGTTCAGCATGCCACTGACTTGGCCGCCAGCCCACGGTTCCATTTCGATGCGGTTCATGACTCTGTACCTCGTTCATGACTTGTTGACGTCACGGTCCATCTAGAGGTGGAGACCAGAGCCAAAAATTGATTGACCTCTTCTATTAACCTCATAATGATTACAGCAGAAACTAAACACGCCCCCCTCGCCCCACCACCAGTGGCGTGGCTTTAGTTTGTGACGCCCTCGGGTCAGTCCTTGTTTCTGTTGCCCATAATTTAAAAAAAAAATGTAGAAAATAAGCTAAAGAAGGTTGTACCAAACATTTGTGACCATAATAAGTAACGCCCGGAGCAGTTTACAGCTCCGCCCTCTCTTCCTACGTCCTTAACTTAACCACACCCCTTTTAATTGCAGGCGTGGCAGAGTTTTTTTTAATCAACGGGTCGCAGGGCATACACTCAATTGAGCCAAGAAGTTTTTGTTTTTTGAGGTTTAGTTGTTGATCAATTTATTATGAAGGCACACAACTTAGTAGCTTGACGTCAAATACATGTAAAATGTACTATCAGGTCAACCAACCAAGTCAACCAATCAAGCCAACCAGCCAAATCACCCAATAAATTCAACCAGTCAAGTCAACTAGTAAAGTCAACCAATAAAGTCATCCGTTCACATCCAGCAATCACGTCAACGAATAAAGTGAACTTACCAATCAAATCAACTAGCCAATCAAGTCAACTAACCAATGCGGTCAACCATAAAATCAAGTCAACCAATCAAGTCAACCAATCAAGTCAACAAATCAAGTCAACCAATCAAGGGTTGCGTACTGTAACGATGGGATCTTGACGTAATGGTGAGATGCGAACGTTCGCTACAGTCGTCCCTCACCGTTTCACGTTTCGCAGTTTTACCGTAAAGCAGATTTTTTCTACTTGTATATTCACTGATGAGTGAGTGCCCAGGAAGAATATTATATGTTGTTAAAAATACAGAAGTTTAAGAGTGTATAAATTGTTAAGAGCATAATAAATCTTTATATGAGCGTGGGGGGAGGGTTTATATAGCCTGACAATGTATATACAGCATACATTAAATATAAGGTCGCTACTTCGCGGATTTCCAGCCATGGCGGAGGGTTCTGGTAACTAAAACATCTTATATCGCAAAAACTTGTCGAGAATTTCGAACACTGTCAATAGAGTTAAATTCAACTGTATTCGAATATGTTACTTGCCTCAGAATCGATACACCTAAACATTAAATTCAACTGCATTCGAATATGTTACTTGCCTCAGAATCGATACACCTAAACATTAAATTCAACTGCATTCGAATATGTTACTTGCCTCAGAATCGATACACCTAAACATTAAATTCAACTGCATTCGAATATGTTACTTGCCTCAGAATCGATACACCTAAACATTAAATTCAACTGCATTCGAATATGTTACTTGCCTCAGAATCGATACACCTAAACATTAAATTCAACTGCATTCGAATATGTTACTTGCCTCAGAATCGATACACCTAAACATTAAATTCAACTGCATTCGAATATGTTACTTGCCTCAGAATCGATACATCTAAACATTAAATTGAACTGTGTTCGAATATGTTAAATGCCCCCAAAATCTACACACCTACATATTCGTACATTCAAGGAGTCGCAATGGGCAAGAGAGCAAGAATAGTATCCTCAAGTAATACAATATCCAAGTTGTGGCAATGTATCCCTGTATCAATGTATCTCTGTGTCAATGTATCCCTGTGTCAATGTATGTCTGTGTCACTGTATCTCTGTGTCACTGTATCTCTGTGTCAATGTATCCCTGTGTCATTGTATCTCTGTGTCACTGTATCTCTGTGTCACTGTATCTCTGTGTCACTGTATCTCTGTGTCTATTTAACTGTACTTCTTGTGGTCTCGTTATTTCTTTGTAAGGCAAAACAAGTTACAGCCCCTAATAGGACTCAGTCTACTGCTTGTTTTTGAAAGCATGAAGAATAAAAAAGGGAATCATATGTCGTTTTTTCTACCAACATAAGTAAAGTATATGCATTTTTGTGAACAAAATATTTAAGGCGATCTCGTCTTTTTCCTGGAAATAAATTATATTACATTAATTTTTTTTAAATTTATTATAAAAATTGCAAGAGAGATGGATACTGATGGTGCTGAAAAACTCAATAAGTTGGTAAGTACTTCCATCTCAATATGTTGGTAAGTACCTCCATCTCAATAAGTTGGTAAGTACCTCCATCTCAATAAGTTGGTAAGTACCTCCAACCTGTAAAGAAACCAAAAACTAAAGGAATAATTCAAACGATAAAAACGTTATTTTGATAATTTTAAATATATAATCTGTTAAAAGCTTGTTTGAAATTGTATCAAGTAAAGTAACAACCTCACATAACAAGTAATAGCGTTTCATGCATGAATTCACGTGCTTACGTTTGTCCAGGTGGAATCCAAAGCTGATCTGGGCAGACGGCCCGCCAATATCTCCCTTCTCCCTCCCCCCCCCACACTTTTCCCCGCACAACCCTATATTTTATTTTTTACCACGACCCAGACCCACTGGTTTGGGCGGTGCTGTCAATAATGTTTGCAGCCACTATTATCACAACGGCGTTAACAGGACCCCCAGGATTATTCCAGACCTAATTCTCACTTACGCAAGCTAACACAGCCTCGTTCTTGAATTATGTTGTCAAAGGTGGGGCGGGGAGGGGAGGGGGTTGGGGGTGGGAGAGACGTGGAAAGAGTGTCACAAAGGTCTTTTGACTTATAAAGACCCCCGGAACGGTAGTGTGTTTGATTGGTCAATCGGACATGCGTGGAAACCAAAGAGTTTGTTTAAAAGTCGCGAAGCAGATTTTTAGAATTGTCATTTCAGGAATCGCCTGCCGTTAAAACAAAAAGACATCTCCACGAGCCCAAGATTAGATTGAGTCCTTACAGTGCTGTAGACGTCTACATTTGCATACATAGATCTCCACCATGGGCTACGAATTGGATATGATCAACAGGGACCCCAACGGACTCAATGACCATGTGAAGGTATGTGTTGGCCGGACGTGAGCAGAACTCACTCAGCTTGTAAAAAAATGTTCTTTCTTTACGTAAAACAGGACGTTTGAAACTGTACGGATAAAGTCATCTTTCTTTTTTTTTAATGATAATTCTATCGTTTTATTTGATATTTTACAGTGGTTCTTTTTTTTTCTGGATTCCACACACAAATTTATTTTTTGGTGTGTTGTGGTGTGTGTAAAAAAGGGTTGGATTCACAAAAAATATAAAGAGAAACATTTAATTCGTTTTTCCTTCAAAAGAAGTCATGCGTTACTCTCAAAGATGTTAACAAAGACTAGGATAAGTGTGGAGCGGATGCCGCCTCTGACTAATGAAGCTCAAATCTAATGTTTAAAACCGTAATGTGATTGACGAAAACGTATGAAATTTAAATACAACCGCTTGTTACCATGATAGCATTATGTTGATACGTGCTGCTGTAGAGGTGACGTGTTCTTGGAACATTTCATATATAGCAAATATAAATAAATGATGATTATGTACATATGGGCAGTAGTCAAGTTCAAGGGAGATATCAATCATTCACTAGGGGCAATACGTCTTGGCTTTCTTTTTGCATGAAAATTATCTTTATATGAACAACATGTTAGACAGTGTGTGAAACAAAAAAAAACAAAAAAAACAAACAAAACAGAACATTACAATAACTTACGGCAGACGCTGTAAAAGAGTGAAGAAACTACTATACAGAAATGTGTGTGTGATCATTTGTTTGTGTTTTTCATTTGTTGGTCGTGTTGCTGGAGGGTGGTTAGCCTTCCATTAAAAAATGTTGACACTATCCATCTGGTTTTATATGTTCGAAAAGAGCATGTGGCCGTCTGAAACCTTGGTACTAATGCTGTTCGCATGTTCGTAATTTGGTGAAGCTTTTGCTACAGCGACGGTCGAAGTCTTTCTTTTTAGGATTCGTTTTTAAGTTTTTTTTCGAAAATATTTTTCTACCTTCATCTCACTTGCAACAAGATTGTAATCGTTTAATCAATGTAGACTTGTATAAACGTCTATAGTAGAAATTTGAATTATTTGATGAATTCTGTCAAGTTCATTCAATAGTTGGCAATGTTGTGTGGTTAAATGAAGCAAATAGCTATTCCCCAACGCTTTTAACAAATGAAATAGTTATTTCCCACTGCGTTTAACGAACTAAATAACTTGTGCCCACTTTGGTTAGCAGTGGTTACATTGATTTCGGTTAGCATTACTTACATTGGCTTTGGTTAGCAATAGTTACATTCCCTTTGGTTAGCATTAGTTACATTGCCTTTGGATAGCATTAGTTACATTGCCTTTGGGTAGCATTAGTTAGATTGCCTTTGGTTAGCAGTAGTTGCATTGCCTTTTATCCATTGGTCTGTTATCCATTACCTGTTATGTCACATTAAGAAATGGCGGCAGTGGGCCGTCGAGCTTAAAGCTCTTTATGCCCTCCCCAAAGCACCTCCCCCCCTAAGCCTGGTATCGGGCCACGAAGAGGCACGTTGGAGATGTCTCTTTGCTAGGAAAGCACCCACCCGAGTCCACTCGACCGGGTTTCCGCTGGAGGCCGCCCCAACCCAAAGACTCCCGGTCAGTCGGCCACTGCATTTACACACAGTGCACACGATTGACTTTCTCGGGCGTCGGGATGGAAAAAATACGTCCTAAAATCTTCCTCACCCATCCCGGGGAAGTGTTGGACGCCCTGTTATCCATTGGTCTATTATCCATTGGTCTATTATCCATTGGTCTATTATCCATTGGTCTATTATCCATTGGTCTATGTCCACAAAACACATCAAATGATCGCAAAATAAAATGATCTATTTTCATGGTCAATACTTCATGGCACACAAAGTTTGATAGGCAATAAAATAAATTTTGTATAAGTTGCATAGTTATGTGATTAATAAAAACAACCCTTTATGAAGAAGTCAACAGTTGAAAAATCGTCTTAGAGCATAAGAGAACATGTTCGAAAGTCCAAAAGATTCAAATTAAAACAGGATTGTGATAAACTCTGCCTAAAAGTGCAAAGCATACGAATTTAAGCTGTTGTATACAATTTCTATAATGATATATATACCCCTTTAGAAAACTAAGCACAGAAAATATTGAAACTATACTCTTTTAATTGTATTAATACTTTATCTTTAATATAAATATGCATAATAAACTCCAAATTTGCTTAATAACACAATTTAAAACATGCTAACTCATAAAAATATATTTTTAAATCACAATTTTAGGTTCTGTTTGAAGAAGTCCTCGCTGAGCCAGACGGCGCCCACTCCATCAACTGCGTGTGGAACTGTGCCTACAAATGCTTCAACTGCTGGAAAGGCTGCTGCTACAAGACCTTGACCCTCTTATGCGGCATCCCACTGGCCATGTGCTGGGGATGCGAGTTCGCCTACATCACCTTCTGGCACGTGTGGTACGTCACCCCGTGCATGAGGGCCTACATGATCAACTGCGGATGCCTTCAGAAGTTCTACGGCACGTGTCTGCAATGTTATCTCCAGCCACTCTGTGAGGCTTTCAGTTACTGCCTCAGTAACATAAAAGTAACCAATCAATCCGGATGATGAGTTCGGTTTACAGTGACCGCGTAACCCGAACCGTACGGCAAGTCTGCATCGACGCTGATACGTCACGTGTGCTTTCTGAACTATAAACTGACAAAAATTTGAACAAAGAATTTCAAAAAAAAGGAAAACTTTAAACAAGAACAAATTAATAGTATGATGAAAAAAAAACACATCGATTTTGAAAGTAAACAGTGAAATAATCTTTTCTACCTTTTTAATTTAAGTATTTACAAAATTTAATCAGTTCTGTGCCATCTATGACGTCCCACTGAGAAGGAATTATCAGTTCAAAGAACTCTTTACATACAATTCTTCAGAGACATTTTTTTAAACCGTTTAACTGTTAGACAAGTATCGTAAAACAAGAACTAATTTACTGTTGTAATGTTAATAATATAAATATTTATAACAAACTTCTGTGATATTATTTTACCGTTTGTACTCAAATATCTTAACAAAGAGTCAATAAATTATTCATTTTTACATCAAAACAATTTACTTTGGTTTGTTTTCAAAGAATTTTTAAAATGTTTAATTGTTTGTTTAAAATAGTAATTATGGAAAGCTTTTAATAATATTTTTAAAAAAAAGGTTTTTAACTTGTCGACTCATTGACATCTGGACGAACTTGACAGCTTAACATGATTGATAGCTTGACGTGATTGAGAACTGAACAGGATTGATAGCTAGACGTGATTGATATTTGCAGATCTTGTGTTTTATAAATGAAGAGTGGAATTAAAAAAAAAAATATTTGCACATTGAAAATAAAAATTTTAGAAAAAAAAATATTAATAGACATCTCACGTTTTGTAGAATTTCTTGCACGATTTTGACCTATAATAGGCACGGAGGAGTCCGAAATCAGCGTAACACAGAAACCACACTGCTGACAATGTGTATCGAACTGCGTATAGGCTATTGTCTATTGAACTACTGGCATGTCCATTGAACTGCTGGCATTGTCTATTGAACTGCTGGTAAATGTCTATTGAACTGCTGCCATTGTCTATCGAACTGCTACCAATTACTATTGAACTGCTGACATTGTCTATCGCATTGCTGGCATTGTGTATTGAAATGCTGACATTTTCTATTGAACTGCTGGCAATGTCTATTGAACTGCTGCTCTTGTCTCTTGAGCTACTGGCATTGTCTCTTGAACTACTGGCATTGTCGATTGAACTGTTACAATTTATTATGGACTAATCTTTGCAATCCTGCTCTTCACTTGCCACCTAGGTTTGCAATCCTGCTCTTCACTTGCCACCTAGGTTTGCAATCCTGCTCTTCACTTGCCACCTAGGTTTGCAATCCTGCTCTTCACTTGCCACCTAGGTTTGAAATCCGGCTAAAAGTGAACGCTTTTATTTTAACTCGGCATTTCCCCCTTAATGTAACCCAATAAATACATATATTAGAAGCAGACAAATTACAGTGTTTAAAACCACATCAGTTTGGTTGATAGTCCACAACAAATTTCTGGACGTTCTACTTTGAATCAGCGTTTCTCGGTGTGGGCCATACAATCCTCTAAACAGTCCACAATACAGTCCCCCATACAGTCCGCCATACAGTCCACCATACGTTCCCCCATACAGTCCGCCATACAGCCCACCATACAGTCCGGCAGGGACTCAAGGAATATTCCTTGGGGAGCACGAAAACTTTGAAAAAAAGATGGGGGCCATGGTTTAAAAAATGGCGTTGAACGGTGGTCTAAAGATCTGCGCCATTGAGCAAAAACGAATGTTTAAACTAGGAGCTGGGACCCCCTACCCTACTCTGCCGCACCTACCAACATGAGCAGACGGTGTCAAAGTCAACTGCTGAACACCAATTCAAAGCGCATTCAACTACAATCTATTAATAATGTCACTTGGTAGGCGAAATACCGAACAGTGTTAGAATAAAGATCACATTGAACTAGTAGAATATAGATCACATTGAACTATTAGAATATGGATCACATTGAACTATTAGAATATAGATCACATTGAACTATTAGAATATGGATCACATTGAACTATTAGAATATGGATCACATTGAACTATTATAATATAGATCACATTGAACTATTAGAATATAGATCAAATTGAACTATTAGAATATGGATCACATTGAACTATTAGAATATAGATCACATTGAACTATAAGAAGATATATCACATTGAACCATATTAGAATATAGATCACTTTGAACTATTAGAATATAGATCAAATTGAACTATTAGAATATAGATCACATTGAAATATATTAGAACATAGATCACATTGAAATATATTAGAATATAGATCACATTGAAATATATTAGAATATAGATCACATTGAACTATTAGAATATGGATCACATTGAACTATTAGAATATAGATCAAATTGAACTCTAAGAATATAGATCACATTGAACTATATTAGAATATAGAACACATTGAACTATGTTAAAATATAGATCACATTGAACTATTAGAATATAGATCACATTGAACTATTAGAATATAGATCACAATGAACTATTAGATTATAGATCACATTGAACTATTAGAAAATAGATCCCATTGAAATATATTAGAGTATAGATCAGGGTTGGCCAAACTTTTCAGCAGCCGGCCCAAATTTCATAAAATAATATTTCCTGTTGGGCTACACACCTAATTTATTTTTTATTAATTCAAGTAAACAAGCAAACGTGCTACAGCTTCGACCACATCGCCCATCCCCATTGGATGAGATCGTGGTCAAACGCTTGAATTGGTTTAAAGTAACAAAATGAGAAAAAGGTATATTTCTTTTCTTTTTTTGGAACAAAATAAAACATTTAATGAGCATCAAAAATAATTATTCGACAATTTAAAAGTATTTAAAAGTGAGACATCTGACGTGGTTTTTCAGAACTAAGTGCATCAAAATTGATCTCGACTGATGTTGTCGCTACACGCAGTTTTCCAAATGAACATCAGCAATTCGTGTTCTTTCTTGTGATTTGATGAGCTTCATACGACCAAAAAGCTTTCCACTCGCATAAGTCTTTCCCAATAGCGAAACCATCGACAGGGCAAGTTTGTGGAACGTAGGATATTTATCCTTTTCCAAATACGTTTTATAGAACTCTTCCAAGCCAAATTGATGGAGTTTCTCCTTTAACTGTGTATTACAACACATTTTACAATGTTCCATTTGTGAGTATCATGCAATGCCTTCTATAGTGCGAACTTAATTTCTTATTTTAATTTTATGGCTCGTTGAAACATTACATAACAAGAACGATACCATAGAGAAATACAATAGCAAAAATACGACACTCAAAACATTTCTAATTACAATTAATAAGATTTATTTAAGTACTAATGATTACAAAGCAAAAGAAATATTATTACAATCATCAACTTACAGAGTAGGATATGTCTTGTACCGGTGCACAATTAGTACAATGTGCCAATTAATAATATACAATGATGAATGCGAAAAAAAACATATGTGAAGACACACAGAATAATACACTTGTCTCGTGAAGTGAAAAATATCTAACTTAACTATCCATGATCTCCTTCCCTCAATGCTCTCTGAACCCCTTATTTATATATGCAGCGTAAGACGCATTCCAGAAACGACTTAGACATTGTTTACCTTTCTTGTCCACTCCCGGACTGTCCACAAAATTCTATTAGAACAAATTAATTAGTTTTAGTTGGTAGTGGTAGTAACCAACGGCCAAGATAAAAGGAAATAGGTTACGCCCAATAAGAACGCGGCGTCTGCTAGATTGGGTCATTTAGAGTTCACGGCCCGGGGAAATGTGACGAAAACACGTCGTCTACATAACAGTAAGCTTCCTGGTAATAAATTACAACTACCGTGAATGGCGCTGCAAATGCACAAAAAAGTACATAATGTTTTTTAATATCATGTAATCGGTTTTCAAATTCGATTTTTAAGCCAGATATCAAAGGAGCGTATTTATTCGCCGCCTCCCGCGTGACGTCTGGTTGCCATGACAATGTAGGAAAGTAAGAAACGTTTTGTGTCCTCAACTGATGTTCCCAAAGACCAAGTTTCATTTTTAAATGCAGAAATATGATCGTACATCTTATTAATTGTTCTTTCCCTGGTAGACGAGTATTAACGTCCTTTGGTTGGCTAGTTATACTGACCAGAAACTCTGGGATACTTAATGACTCGCTTGCAAAGAATGCTTGTACTTCTTGCTTCAAAGCAAACACTTTTTTCAACATTTTGGCACGGGTCAGCCATCTTTCTTATGCATAAAATGTAACGTCATTATATTATGAGTCCAAAGACTTTAGAAATTCTTGGAACTGGCGGTGATTTAACCCATGAAGATCAATATTTTGGCGACCACTTTCATGACAGGGTCCATTTTAAAGGACTTCGAACATAAATTCTTCTGAATAATTTGCAATGAAAATGTAGCATTGAATTATTAGCCTACAGACTTTGGAGGCCACATTTTCAATGAATTTTACTAAATTTTCGTGTTTCCCAACCATTGCTGGAGGACCATCCGTTCTTAGGTTGTGATGAAAAGCGATTCAGTGGCGATGTAACTGCCTCTAACAAATTTCGTGACTTAGAAGTGTCCTTAAGTGGATACGGTGCCGCTAATTCTTCTGTATTTTTAAAATGAGCATCAACACCCCTGATAAAAATTGCCCGTGGGGTAGTACCTGCCATATCTGTGCTTTCATCCAATGCTAGACTAGGGCAGTACCTGCCATATCTGTGCTTTCATCCGATGCTAGAATTGGGCAGTATCTGCCATATCTGTGCTTTCATCCAATGCTAGAGTTGGGCAGTATCTGCCATATCTGTGCTTTCATCCGATGCTAGAATTGGGCAGTATCTGCCATATTTGTGCTTTCATCCAATGCTAGAGTTGGGCAGTATCTGCCATATCTGTGCTTTCATCCAATGCTAGAGTTGGGCAGTATCTGCCATATTTGTGCTTTCATCCAATGCTAGAGTTGGGCAGTATCTTCCATATCTGTGCTTCCATCCAATGCTAGAGTTGGGCAGTACCTGCCATATATGTGCTTCCATCCAATGCTAGAGTTGGTCAGTACCTGCCATATCTGTGCTTTCATCCAATGCTAGAGTTGGGCAGTACCTGCCATATCTGTGCTTTCATTCAATGCTAGAGTTGGGTAGTACCTGCCATATCTGTGCTTTCATCCAATGTTAGACTAGGGCAGTACCTGCCATATCTGTGCTTTCATCCAATGCTAGAGTTGGGCAGTACCTGCCATATCTGTGCTTTCATCCAATGCTAGAGTTGGGCAGTACCTGCCATATCTGTGCTTTCATCCAATGCTAGAGTTGGGCAGTACCTGCCATATATGTGCTTTCATCCGATGCTAGATCATAAAATATAAACTCGGATGCTCGACTTTTCAACTTATCTTCATTATGTTTTCCAATGTCGTTCACACGCCTAGTAATAGTCTGACGAGACAGACTTATTTTTGAGAAATCCCTTCTTTTTCTGGACACAGAATTTCAACGGCTCTCTCCAAACATTCCTAAACCATTTCAACGGCTGAATATGGCTGAGACATTTTTGCTAGTATCACGGCTACAGGATAACTAGCTTTTACATACATACATTGACGACGCCGAAGACCACCGAACACATTTATTTATTTATTTATTTAGGCATTTTTATATAGCGCTTATCATAAAGCTCTAAGCGCTTTACAATTATTAAAACATGTAAACTAAGTAAATACAAATGAGACACTAGGATAGTAACTACTATTCTATAGAAACAATGAAAATGGCTATA